GGGGGGGGGGGGGGGGGGGGGGGGGGGGGGGGGGGGGGGGGGGGGGGGGGGGGGGGGGGGGGGGGGGGGGGGGCAACACCTACGGACATATATGTCGCTTCTTTGTGACCTGGGCTGCGGGAGGTGCGTCCGCGGGAACCAAAGCGCCTGTATAACATCACATCAGCAGCAGCAGCAGCAGCAGACAACCCAACCTAGCAATACAGCGTAGCCATCATACCCGCCAGCCTCCTGCCAGGCTGCTCTGCTGCAGGCTACTACTACTGCTGTAACACAGACGGTTGCTACTGCCATGAGCTAGCACGGAACAGATTGTCAGACACCAAGCAGTGTAGGTTTGTTGATGGGGCTTTAACTTGAAGCGGTCAGGCTGGCAGTCGTCTTGGAAGAACTCTTCTTCGTCTTCGGCATCTCTGAGCCCCATCGTTGCCTCTAGGACCCACATCACCATATTGTCCAGGCGTTCACAAGCCCCTCTCACTAGCTTGTGATTGATGCCTCTCTCGATATTTCCGGATCGCTGTGTCAGCAATTGTGATGTGACGAGGTGAGCCACCTGTTTGTCTGGCATGCGCACCACCATGCGAGCAAGCTTGTCTGCACCCCCTTCAGTTATCACTTTCATTGCGATATCCTCGACGTAGGCATCCGTCCCAATGGGGACTCCCACAACTGTGATGCCCTCCTCCGCAATCGGTAGGCCTGCATCGCCAAGTAGCCTCCTTTCTGCTGGCGTCACGTCGTGCCCTGGTGGGGGAAGCGCTGAGCTCTTCCCCCTGTTGACGATGATGCCCACAGCTTCTAGTTCGTCGACGAGGTCCGGTATCACCTGGATATTTTCCGCTGTGATATTTTTGAAGTGCAGGCTGATGTCGTCCACATAAGCTTTCAAGCTTACCCCGAGGTGGTCGTACTTGGCTCTAACCTTTGAGACGATCGGGACTAGGATGAAGCAGAACAGGGGCGGTCCCATTCCATCTCCTTGCTGCACACCGCTCTTGCACTCGATCGTCCGACGCTCTCCGGAGTCCATCGTGTATATCGCCTTTGCCGGGATTTCGTCGTAACACCTGGCGATGTACCCCACGAGATCTGGGACGCTCTTTGCGGCCTGGGCCATTATGGCGGTGCGCTTGCCCGTGTTGAAGGCATTTGAGCAATCCGTCTGGACCACCCACTGACCTATCTGATGAACCAGTTGTGCGTCCATCACAACTTGTTAAACTCCTCCAGCTACCGCCACTCCGAATTGGTCCGCTTCCCGAAAAATTTCTTCCAGTTTCGGTTTCCACTCCCTGACCGTTCCCGCTGCAATCAGCCTTCTCCAAGTCATTCCAATGCACACTGGACGGCACTTTTCACCGAGGGCGATTAGACTGGATTGTTTCCAAAGAGTCCAGAACTCCGGTGGGAACGCGTTGGGATCGTTGATGAGCCTCCTCCAAAGGGACGACATCGCGTTGCTGAACTCTTCCCGACCAATTTTAGTGTTGACGATGGACTTAACCCAATGACCTGTCTGATGAACCAGTTGTGCGTCCATCGCAACTTGTTCAACTCCTGCAACTACCGCCACTCCGAATTGGTCCGCTTCCCGAAATCTTTCTTCCAGGTTCGGTTTCCACTCCCTGACCGTTCCCGCTGCAATCACCCTTCTCCAAGTCATTCCAATGCACACTGGACGGCACTTTTCACCGAGGGCGATTAGACTGGATTGTTTCCAAAGAGTCCAGAACTCCGGTGGGAACGCGTTGGGATCGTTGATGAGCCTCCTCCAAAGGGACGACATCGCGTTGCTGAACTCTTCCCGACCAATTTTAGTGTTGACGATGGACTTAAGGTGGGAGAAACGTTGCCCGTCATTTCCTGCCCCAGAGTTAGAGCTTCTGCTGTTGATGACTTGAAGGAGTACTTGTGGGTCGAACTCGGTTTCTGGCCTCCATCTCGGGGCGCTTCCTTCCTCCTCCTCGGTGCGGCTTGCAGCTATGGCTTCGGCGATGGCCTGCTCCACTTGTACGGGATCCTCATGCGGAAATTTGGCTTTCAGACGTGCCCATGTCTCGTCGTTCCCCGTTTACGGTTGATCGGCCAGGAGCGCTCTTGCTGCGTCCTTCACGCCTCCAGAGTGCCGGCATGCCTGCGCCGCCCTTTTGAACTTGTCGTCGGGTGTGTCTTCCCGTGCCGGTCCCCTGCTCCTTGCACTCGCCGCCTTGGTATACTCAATCAGCCAAGGAAGAACGGACGATATATCCCCTCTTTTGAGCGATCTGTAGCGTTTTTTTCGAGCTATCCGACCATCAAAGGAGTGCAGAATACCTGGTAGGAGGTACAAAAGTTTGATGACCCGGATAGTGGAAAGTGGGGTCCCGGTCGCCGAGGAAGCGCCGCCGCCTTCTGCTAGCTGCTTGTTAACCAGGTGGAGCACGTGGGTTTGGAGACGGGCATGGTCGGAAGCAAACCTAGGTATTCTCACCGCGGAGGGAAATAATTACGGTCCAAGCAGCTCCGAATTCAGAGTAAGTGCCTGCTGTAGAGAGATGTGACGACACAACACCAACACCTACTGCTTGCTGTACTCCTCGTGGCGATGTGCTACTGCTGTGATAATGCTGCTGTAGCATCGTGCCNTTCAGAGTAAGTGCCTGCTGTAGAGAGATGTGACGACACAACACCAACACCTACTGCTTGCTGTACTCCTCGTGGCGATGTGCTACTGCTGTGATAATGCTGCTGTAGCATCGTGCCCCCGATGCCGTTTGGGGCTTGTTTGGGGTTTGTTTGGGGTTGGGACCCCCACGGCGTCGGGGGAGAGACAGGTCTTTTGGGGGGGGTGCCTATTAGACATGAAATAACCATTGGTTGCCAGTCAAACTCTCGCCGAGAAAAAAAAAACACTTGAGAGACAGACACTGCACAGTTGTTAGAGCGACTTTGTCGTCGCCAAACTCTCGCGGGAAAAAGAAAAACGATGGTGCATGACAGACACTGTGAAGCTGAAACACATCAGATGTGCCAGCCAAACATAGCTCCATGCCTCCATTCGGCTGATTGGTGTTGGTTTCTATAGTCTGCGTCAGTACAACTACCAATTTAGTCTGCGCCAAAAGGAAAAAAGTGCGCATATTTATTTGTAGGCAAATAAATAATAGGCATAGTCTGCTACTGTAGATAGCCCCTGCAGCAGCAGCAGTACATTTTATGTAATCAATATCCTGCCGCTGCGCCGAACCTCGCTTGCTTCCGGATCGACCACAACAGACCTGCTGCTGCCTATGGCACGACACGGCGTGCTTCCACGTACGTACGCACGCATCGCGTGTCTTTCGTGTTTGAAGGCACATTATTTATTTCCCCGCGAGCGAGCGGTGATACAGCAGCATGTAATTCTTCTGTAGCCATCATTATAATAGCATCGACCGGCCCGGCTCAATCAACCCGCTGACCAATGAAAACAGACAGTCATTCCGTGCGGCTGACTAGAGAAAATAACGCGTCTCCTTCTAGAGGCCATGGTCGTGGACACACAGCAGTGAGGGGGGCGTCAGTCATGGGAGAGCCTAGATAGACTACTATTCTCCGGATGAAAGGCGGAGACGGTGCTGTAGCACATGGCGAGAAATGCAAGTAGTACGTGTACCGAGGCTCCTGCTTTCGAGACTAACTCGTTCGTGTGTGTTTGTTTCGGCCCCGTTCGCTTGACATGCATGCATGCTGTCGCTTGCTTCCATCAGATATCCTACAGTACACATAGTCTGAATACATACACACATACATATCATCGTCCTCCTTCCGTTCACCACTCTCTCTCAAACCAGCTGTTTCTACTACTGCAGTCTCTGCCTCTCAGTGGATATTTTTTGTTTTTTTTCGTCGAGAGTTTGACTGGCAACCAATAGGCACCCCCCCCCCAAAAGACCTGTCTCTCCCCCAACGCCGTGGGGGCCCCAACCCCAAACAAACGCCAAACAAATCCCAAACGGCATCGGGGACACGATGCTACAGCAGCATTATTATCACAGTAGCACATCGCCACGAGGAATACAGCAAGCAGTAGGTGTTGGTGTTGTGTCGTCACATCTTTCTTGTGCAGCAGGCACTTACTCTGAAGTCGGGGCTGCTTGGACCGTTCTTATGAACAAAGATCCATGAACAAACAAACAAAAATATAACACTAATAAGGTCCGAAAATAGAGCGAGGCCAAGAGAGTGAGCCAGACCCGACAGGTTTCAAAAAGGAGACGGAAGAAGAGAGCATAGAAAGAGCACCCTCCTTGACACTCCGAATCCCCGGAAGCTGTCACATGGGCACTGCAGCAAGCATTAGGGTCATGACCATTCCCTGGCAGCACCCATCGTCTCCCGTAAAGCAGCCGGATGCACGTGGTAGCCTCTTTGCTCAGCCAGCAAGCAAAAAATCAATCGCGGTTGGCAATTGGTGGGCTATGCGAATGAAAACGACGGAGACAGAAAAAAAGAATTTAGGTCGATAGAGACCCAAGCTCTACCGAGCTTGGGACGTGGCACATCCCCATGAGGAGTACAGCAAGCAGCAGGCGGTGGTGTTGTGTCGTCACATCCTTCTTGTGCAGCAGGCACTCACTCTGGATCCGGGGCTGGTTGGACCGTTGTTATTATGTTGCTTCACGGCTGGTTTCGAAACGAGAACCAACCGTCTTCTCATTTGTTGTCCGGCTACGACAAGCGGAATACATGCCACTTACGCTGTACTTTATTCAAGAAACGCGCACAGATATCCAGCAGTGGAAAACTATTCGTGTAGTGAAGGAGGACAATGATATCACGACTAGATTCCGTAGGGGTCCCGTAGACAGGAGACAACCACCCCCCCAAGGTACATTAAGCGTGGCCCCTCCCATAGATTTGATTGATTGGCCCACTCATTCTGCATTGCAGTGTCAATTGTCATGAGTGTCTCAGCTTTTGACACAACTAGTTCTTCATTTTCCCACTTGCCGACGGTTTGGATTGCGCATCATTTTTCTACGGATGAACCACCACCGTGTACAGATCTTATTCGGGACTCCATTCCTCCAGCACCGAGAACGCAGCCAAGTGAGCAGAAAAAAAAGAAAACCCCTCGATTCTATTTAGAATAGTACAACAGTAGCCGTTTAGGAAGTAGACGGGAGAGGCGACAGCTGATCACAGGGAGGGCCCATACATCGTCCGTCGTAACGCTACGGGCTGTACCCACCCCTGCAAACTGCAAAGTGTGCAAACATAGGCACGACGACAATATTCTCGGGGGTGGGAAACCATACAACCGTGACGCAAGTGTGACACGTTCTGCCGATCAGACTCATATTTTGTTGAAAGCATTTTGTCTGGCGACCATCATCTTATGCCGAGAGACACATGTGAAAAGAAATGCAACTATTGGTTTTGTATTACATCAACTCTTGTGAACGCCGAAAAGCATAAATTCACTTCGTAACACCCGATGCTACTCTAAAATACAAATGCTGCAACTTCACCAAGTACAGACTCAGAGTAGACGTAACGACGTTGGTCGACGGAGAATGCCAAGGGAACCCCACGCAGCTCCTGCTGCTGATGTGACGCTGACGCTAAGTTCGAAACCTTCCACGTCTAGCGCGTACATACACTCTATTACATGCATTCGCGCACCTTAAAACATAATCTACCAATACACAGAGACCTTTCGAAGTGAATAAAATCCAGGCTCCATTGAGTGGCCATTTCAACCTGACCAAACAATAGGTGCTCAGGACAGGAACCCTGAGCTAGAACCTATACATTCGACGTTGGTTGCCCTGCAGAGAAAGTAAGAGACTACTGTCGTACCGAGCCTAGTAAGTGGTGGCCCGTCTGCAACAATTCAACACTACAACACCTGAGACGCCCGCTCGCTGTCGACGGTGGACACAACAACGCCCCTCTGGCAGAGACCACCAGTGGTTTCCTTGACAAACGCACAGGGGAGTCGAACCACATCAACCCTCAAGACACACGCGTACGCATATGAATACAGCGAACACGAGATATAGTACGGCCCGGCGGCAGGCATCCCATAGGGCGGGGGGGGAGGTACCGATAACGAGAATCATCATCACCCGTTTCCCATAGTCTACTTCCCAAAGCCTGACCCCGAGAGCCGACCTCCGCCAAGAACAAGACATACAATGACTGTGAAAAAACAACAATGACAACATGAACAACAAATATGGACAAAAACCAAACCACGTGACGCAACCAATGAAAAACACAAGACTTCTCCTCGAGGCGCCCGTACCAGTCGCGCCGTCACAAGCAGCGCCGTTGTTGAGAACGGTTCTCACTTTCCACGGTTGGCTCCGACCCCTTGCCAATCAGCGCCACGCCTAGGAACAACAACCAACTGACGTCCGGCTGAGAATACCCCTGAGTGGCAAGCACGCACCGATGAACGGCTTCGAGCGTACATTTACAAAAAGAGAGACGTGCACGTCAATCGAGCAAACAGGACCCTCGCGTCCTTTTCCACAGTCCTGTTTTTTCCATGAAACACTAAAGACATCCAACAGCGCCGTTGCTTCTCTTCAGCAGATTCAACGGCGGTTTCGAGCCCCTCATTCGAGTGTCGATATTTCTGAGGAAAAGATGGCCATTTATTACACCGATAAGTAGGAGCTGGGGACCGATCGTGGTCGTCGTGGGTGGGTGCGCTTCAAGAATCGTTCCGAGCCCCTTTCCTACTAGCACCGTTCCCGCCGCCGGCAACGATCGACGTCAAGAACGTTCCCTGCGGGTCAGTGAGCTTTCACGAACCATTCCGTTCCGTTCCGGGTTCGTTCTGTTCCGATCCGTTCGGCGACCCCTTCCTATTTGCACTTTTCCCGCCACCGACAACGGTTGACGCTAAGAACGTTTCCCGCGGGCGGGTGAGCTTCAAGAAACGTTCCGAGTTCCGTTCCGGGTTCCGTTCCGAGCCCCTTTGCTATTTGCGCCGTTCCCGCCGCCGGCAACGATCGACGCCGGAAAGTTACCCGGCGGGGTCGCCTCTCGCTCCTCCCTTCGCTTGCCGCGCGCACCGCTTACCGCGCGCGCACCGCGCGCAAGGGCAACGTACGACAGCACCTGCAGCGGTGGTCGCACAAAAAAAGAAGCATGAGTTCGAGTACATGTCTAGAAGGGGCACAGGGGTGCGAGGGGGAGGCGCTACAGAGAGCTGAGATGAGCTCGAGTATATAGATTACTTGGAGGGTTCGCGGGGACGCACTGGGGCGGCGCCATCGACAACGGCGCGGCCACGGTGGGGGGGG